ACATACAATATATATATGTACATGCGTTTATATATATGCACATACGGGCGCACATAAAAATATTCAAGATACATATACTGGAAGAAATACCCAATCGACATTGGGTACAAATTATATAACAATAAAAACATTTAACAAAAAAGAATTGCAACATAAAAAATTCCGCGATACCCCTTGGATTTTGGCAACAAAACCAAGCAGGATTGCGTATAAAACAAATTCAAAGTCCACATTGGCATATTCCCGCAATACCCCTTGATTTTTGATCAACAGAAACAAGCAGGATTGTGTAAAGCATAATAAAGCGTAATACATACGTACATACATGCTTATGTACAAAGTGCAGTGATCTCTAATACGAGCGTGGATATTTGGACATAAATCATAAATAAAGGAATATAAACATACAAAATAAAATACATAAAATATTTCCGGATATTAAAAAAAAAAACAAAAATGAAATCAAATTTAGCGAATTAATTATTTATTTCATTTTAAAACTCTTATTAATTTAAAAGAGTTCGCGATCGCGCATATTATCAAATACGTAAAGCGTTTTCTTTATCTCAATTTCGTTCAAAACTCTGTTTACCTAAAAGAGTTCTCGTCTAATTATATACATAAATACATATATATAAGAAAATATTTTGAAATCTCAGCTTATTAAAAGCCTTTGGTTTATTGATTTTTTTACATATAAAAGAGTCTTCTATTCAACATTTTATATACCAAACTTTTTCTAAACATCTACAAGTCTAGTTTTCACTAAGACGTTTTAATTTATTCTATACATCTTTTAAATGAGCTCAGACTCAAAGGAATCTAAAACAACTCAGTTGCTAAAAGTTCCAAAAATGGTTACAGATGAAAAAAGTCCTGTACACCGGCAGAAGCTACACGCTACACGTAGAAGCTACACGCTCGAAGCAAGGTGCTACGAAACAGAAAAGGGGGAAAGACATATTATGCTCTAAATTCATTTCTGAGAGTGAGTGTCTAATAAGATATTGCAATCGATTTGCTTCCACGCCGATGCAAAAAAATTCTGAATCAGCGCTAGAAATAAAAGGCCAAACAATTGAAAATGTTTGGACACGTCTCCAGGCTGCATATGACGCAGTTGTAGATACTGACGATTCTGATCTACCAGAAAACTTTAAATCTTCTGCTTACTCCAAATTTGAAAACTGCTTAGACCAGTATGAAAACACAAAAATTATGATCGCTGATCAATTAAA